CGCATCCCTGAGCGGAGCCCTGTTCGTCCCGCCACCGCCGCCGCCGCCTCAGCGGGACCCGCCGGGCCGGGCCGGGCCGACAGCGCCGCGGCTCTGAGGTAAGGCTGGACCCCTCCCCCCCCAGGCTTTTTTCCCGCCGCCAGCTGTGCTTTGTCCCCCCCAAACCATCCTCCCTCCCGCCTCTGTTGCTAGGCGGCGGAGCCGCATGCCCTTGGGGAAACGAGGGAAGGAGGGTCCCCCTAAAAAGCCCCGGGCATCGCTTGAAGGACCGTCCGAGCAGAGGGAGGACGGGCTGGGTGAGCCCCGACCGCCCCCGAAAGCCCGGCAGCCTCCCTCCTGCCAGCTTGACCTTGGCGGTATCATTGGGGAAGGAGGCAGCGAGCAGGCGGCCGGCATGAATCTTTCATTCTCAGCCCCAGGTTTGTGGGGGGGTGTTGTTTCTCCCAGAGCCAGGGGTCTTTGTGGGCTGAAAGGGGGGGGGAGGAATATTCCTGTGTTCAGGGTCTGATGTCCCCACCAATATTTGTGCCATTGAGTAAATCACCGGCTACCCCTAAAGAGAGATGTTCCTCCACCGCCCTGGCTCTGGGCAGCTGCTCAGCTGCTATAGTGCAGCACAGCTCCCAGGGGAGCCAGGACTGTTTCCATCAGCCAGAAAATCTGCCCCGACTCCTTTTTAGGAGGCTTAAAAGATGAAGTAGTGCTGGTTGCTGGCTTCCAGATTTTGTAGCAGGTCCGTCTGAGACCTGCGATGAGCCATGTAACTGCAGCTGGCTTTATTAGGGGGAAAGAAGCAAAAGCAAAAAGCCCCACAATTGGCTTCACTGTTCTGATGTGAGGCTGGAGTTTCTTCTGAAACATGGGAGAGGTTGCGAAGAGGTCAGGAAAACTAGACTCTGGTTTAACTGTTATATCATCAATTGAAAGGAGAGTGTGCTTACCGGCCTAGGGTTGCTCTCACATGCTTCAGGGGAAAATCAGGTACAACTCCCCTAAAGTCAGTGGGATCGAGGTGGATTTAATTTGCCCTTTTCTAAATCTGGAGTCTCTAAAGTGCTATTTAAACTAAGGGGAGCGGACAATTTTCTTTGGTGCTATGACAGTAATCCAAACCGGTGTGATGTCAGTATCTGTTCCATTAGGATTAAATTCTGTCAGATCCAGACTAATGCCTTGGTATGAGTGGAGATGATCTGAATTTACCTTCCCAAGTTGCATCAGAATCAGGCCTTTACTGTTTCCATGTGAAGAGACTCCTTCTGTTGCTGTCAGCGAAGGTGATTAGAAGTGGGAAAGCTATGGTTTGAGAGGCATGGGGTCCCTTAGGACTTGGCTAGCACCCTGGGGCCGGGGGAGCTGGCAGGGGAGATTAAAGTTCTGTGGCTTTTGAGTTTGGTCACTGGCCTGGATTTAGTTGCAGCTGGAGGCGTATCTTGTGAGTGCCTTATAACTTGCAGTGCTCAAGAAACCATGTGATCGTTGATTTTCACTGCCTTTGACTATAGTGTCACATCGTTGCAGCTGCTGTATGCCTTCTTGATCTCAAATGCAACATAAAAGGAAGGTAAATTGACTGAATAAATATGTTCATGTGCTTCCCAGCTAATGAAGTGCCAGAATTCCCCATCCTCCAACATTGTGGGTCTGTAACCATTCAGACAGGGTTTTTTTTTAATGACCTATTGGTATGATTGCCCTTCCTGGGCTCTTGAAGATTTTATTAAATGGATGCCTGATGAATAGCTAGTAATATTAGTTGACCAGCTAGCAACTTGGAACCGATTGCATGGTTAAAGAATACCCATGAGATGCAGCCACTTCTGGGCTGGAGCAGGAACTGCAGGTATGCAGGTAAGCTCCTGATGGCCAAACCTATATTTAAAGTGCCACAGGATCATTAGCAACGTTTGTACAGAGCAGATGGGATTTCTTTGTTGAAAGAGAGTCAGATACTGAGTTGGCTGTTATCTCAGTGCATCAGTACCTCATGAATGTAAGTTGACACCCAGCCAGAATGATAGCTTTTTACTCCCATTTCACGCTGTTGTAAATTATTGTGCAGGAAAGAATGAGGCTCTGAGTGCCTAAATCCCTTACGAAGGAGCCCATGGACTAACCTGCTTGCACACCCAGCTGATCTGTCTCCAAAAGATCATTTGTTCCTTTCTTGTGATAGGAGCCCGCAATTTCAGTGAAGTTGGTGATGAGCTCCTGACTGTTAGACAGATAAACTAGCCTCTCTAGGTGCTGCACTATCCTGCCTGAGACACGTTTTTCCTTGTGAGTCAGTGCAAATTAACCAGCTTACGCACTCTGGGGTTGGAGATAGCGTGCTTCTTGATCTGTTTAGATTGAGTCATGCTAGAAGCCCATGTGTCACTCCTTGTTGTTATTGCGTTTGTGAAATGGAGCTAATTAGTATAGGCCATTTGAAGGGGAAAAGACCCCTAATGAGTCCAGATGGCAAAACCTTTCCAGCTGGGGCCAAATAGGAAGGAAGATCAAACTGGGAACTTGGCATCCTTGAGAGCAGCAGTTCTCAGCAAGCAGTTTTAAAATGGATGCATCTTGGCTTACTGTCAGTCCCCCTGCAAAAGGAGCTGAGATGGGGATGTCACAGAGGGAGGGTGGAAAAGGAGCTTCAGAAATGAAAGCCTGCCACAGCCAGGGTAAGATTCTCCTCTGAGGGTCACATAGTGGGTGGGTGGAGAAATTTGGATGCACTGTTCTTCTGTGCTTGCAAGCACAGGTCTCCCCCTCACCTGACCCCATCAGAAGGTCTGTACTTCTAGGGATTTGCTATCTGGGTACTGTAATATCGGAGTGCCTCTTATATCTGAGTGTAGGAAGTGTTATTTCCAGATGGCAGACAGGGAACTGCAGCACAGGGCAGATTAAGTGATTTGTCTGAAGTCAAGCAGAGACACTTTGGCTGAGCTGGGAGCTGAACCCAGGGCACTGAGGTCCAAGCCCTGACAACTAGATTTTTCTCTTAAAAAGGGAAGGTGAGCTGGATATGAAGGCCATAGGGTGGTATTTCTGGAAGTGGGATCTAGGGCTCTGCCCTACAATGGTCTGCTTATATGACCTTGGGCAAGGCTTATTCTCTCTGCATCTCAGTTTCCCTTCTGCGAGTGGGAAATGTAGCCCTTTGCTTCCTCTAGTTTGCTTGTAAGCTTTTCAGGGGATAGTGTCTTACTAGGCAGCTGTACAGCACCTGGCACAGCAGGCCCCAGATCTTTGGTGCCTTATGTGTTTTTTGTAACCTACTAACACAAAGGAGCCCTGGGAAGTGGGCAGCAACACGTGAATGGGGCCCACATCTACCACCAAGAAGATGAGCTTTACCTGTTGCACATTGTCACTTGCTCTTGGGCTCTTTAATCTCCCCTTCCTTCCTCCTCTCACAAGGTGACTCTTGGTTGCTCATGTACTGTCTGCTGACCTTTTGGCCATTTGATTTTGCTGTGTTCTGTTCTTCGGAAAACCCAAAATACCACACTACAGAGATGCATAGTTTAGTGCATGGAGGCACTAGACTTGGCACTCCTGGCTTCCTTCCCCTATCCTGCCACTGATTCACAGTATGACCTTTTGACTGGTCGTCTCAGTGTTCCCTATGGAAAATGGGACCATTAACAAGATACTAGCTTAGCCAAAATGTTGGTAGGGGGTGAAGGAGAGGGACTTTGACATTCAGCCCAATAGCAGTAACGCATAAAAGGTCCTTTAAATCCTAGGATGAGGCAGTCAGCAGTATTGCTGTGGGAAAAAAAAAAAAGAAGGAAATAATAAATGAGCTGTCTGCTTAGTACATCAAAATATTCCAGGAATAAATCAGCACTGTTCCAATGTAGTTGGTGGGGGGAAGCACTCATGCTTGTACCCACCATTTAAGTGCGATACAAAAAGCTATATTGCCCCTCACCTCAACAGTATCTGAAAGCCTGCTACACAAAGGTATTTTGGTGCTTAACTTCTCTTTAAGTGCCTGACTTCCACTGGAACCATAAGGATTTAGGTACCTAAAAGACCTTGATGGTTCTGGGCCCGAGTGCCTGAAGTACAGCAGTATATTTGGCAGGTGCTAAAGGGCAAGCACCTGTACAGGTGGCTTGGCCCCAAACATCCCCAGCACAAACCAAGGTCATTCAAATAGCCTCTTGTATACATGGTCTCCTCTTTAAACCTTGATAAGCCCATGAAATCAGCACCATGAGCCTGATCCTGCACAAGCTGTGCTCAAGGGCAAAGCACCCAAGGATCAGGCCTGAATACCTTTGTACAAGAACATTGCTTTGATCAGCCTGCCTCAGAGAGATTTTTAGCAGAGCCTCTTCCCTGGGACAGGAGTCTGGGAACACTCACCTGCTCGGACACGTCGCAGCAGAGATGATGACAGACTTACAGAGATCATGCCAAAGTGCAGAGAGGCCAAGTGGAACCTAATTAAAAAAAAATAAATAAATAAAATAAAATAAAAAAAAAATCAAGCCTTGACATTTTGCTACTCTGGAAAATGTCCTTTTTTCCTTTCAGATTGTGGCTGGAGGCATTCTTGTATAAGATTTGAGGTATAGGACTTATAAGATGCAAAATGAAGCAACAGGGCAGAGAGGGGCATTGGAGGATAAAGACAAAGCAAGGGGCATGGGGCTTTCAGCAGAGGTGCCCTGCTCCACTCTGCAATCTGCAAAGGCATGCAGGTGTTATGGGGAAGGCCTGTGGCCTGTGCTGTCCTTCCACAGATGGGGTGGCAGGAGTGGGAGTGGAGGGGGGAATGAGACACCTTGCAAAGTCATTAAAGCTCCTTCCCCCCTTTCCTCCTTCCAGGGGGATCACTCTCTCCTGCAGGCAAGTGCCCATTGTTAACCGAGGGGAGTTTTGCCTAAGTCTGAACCGAGTGCACAAAGGACAAAGACTGCTGGGAAGGGGGTGAGAGCAGGGAATCAAATACCTGCAGCATATTCCTGAGATCTCAGCCATTTTGTACTGAGGATAATTCCCCTTGCTGCTGCATGTGGTTCCTGCTCTGGCACCAGCCCTGGTCTTTGTGCTTTGTTTTCCTCTGTCTGTAAAACAGGTGGTAGGACTTGCTAACCTCATTCACAAGAGGATGAAGCCAGCCAGGGTCACACAGAGCTCTGCACATGAGCCATGGCAAGGTGTGAAGAGGGGAGGGCATTCACCTGGGCTGCAACCATTCATATTTTATCTTCCTGTGCTGCCAGAGACTCCTTGGGTGAATCATGTTGCCTCTGCTTGCATCAGTTCTCTCCTTGTAACTAGTCAATGCCTCACAGCAGCTGGTAGGGCAGATATGGTAATGATCATGAGGTGCTCAAATATTAAGGTAATGGGGGCCAGCTGAGGCCTTGGATAGACGGTAGGGCATTTAGGTTATTGAGCTTCTCCCACTCTGAGTTGCATGTGCCAGGCTGACATCACGAAGGAGTCCCTATACTGTACAGTGCTGCTCAAAAACATCCTGTGCTTATTCTAGTGATAGAAAAAGGCCTTTCAACCAGATACCAGCTGTAAGAACCCTCTGCCTAGGAATATACTTGGTCATGTCGAGTGTGTTGAAGTGTTTTGGTGCCTAGTTAATCATCTCCTGTCAAGGCCAGGACAAGGGCTGCTCTTCTTTTCTAGGTCACATCCATGGCTTCTGGAATCATGGCTGTATCTGGAAGCTGGGAAGAAGGAGGTGTTCACTAGGGTATGCTAGGATGTGGATTGGGGTGGCAGGGGTGATTCTGGTACAAAGGTCATAGCTGGGGTTCATTCAGTTTAGCTGTGTTACCCAGATATGGCACAAATAAGCGGTGAGGCTTTGAGGACATCTCCTCCCTGTTCTGTGCCTCAGTTTCCCCATATACAAAATGGAGATGGGGTGGGGAACATGCTCTGAGATCCTGAGTCAACAAGGAATTGGCTTTATTTATGCTTGGAAGCAGATCTGGTTTAGAGAAGCTTTTGCAGAATACCAGTGTATTTCACAGGGTTTCAACAGAAGCTTTCCAGCCTGTGGTTTTTATTTGTCCCTGATAACTGCCCCATGCAGAGGCCAGGGAGACCTGCTCAAATTCCACGCTGCCTTACAGATTGCAGGGGCCATGGCATTAGTCAAAACAGCCCATCAGGACCTGACATTCACAGAGCCTGCTGCCATTAGTGGAAGGTTCAGCTGATATATATTTCAGCTTGTTATAGCTTTCTGGCCACTCTCCGGAGAAACCAGAGGAGCCCAATGATACAGAGCACAACGACTCCCTCCTTTACTTAACAATTCATAACTGAGCAGCCTAATGGGGCTTGTTAAATGGGCCTGCAGCCTCAGTGCGCTCCCTCGAGAACAGTTCCAGGCCTGTAATGCTGCTCCAAAAAGTATGTAGTGAATCGCCCCTGCCCAAGCTTTGGGGACTTGAGTTAACTCCACAGCAAACTTACTGATGAGTGGGGTCGACCCTCGCCCAGAGGCCAGCATATAGCCAATGCATCCTGTGATCATTATATTATTTGAAGAATTGGGGCAGCTTGTCTAATGGACTGATATTCAAGCTGGGTTTCTTTCCAGTGCCTGTCATCACTAGCAATACAGCTTCTGCAATAAGAAAGCAGTTAACAAGGCTATTAATGATACATGAGCCAGAACAGACTCTCACTCACTCTCCTGTACTGGCTCTGCAGGATTAGTGGAGTGACAAGCAATAGAAAGTATGATTTGTTGCTTCCCACTACCAGATATGGCCAGCTTTGGGGTCCCAGACAGCTGTCAGAGGAGTTTCTGAGCCACCCCTCCCATGTTGCTAAATGAGTGGTGATTCTTGGTGGGGGTGCTCAGTAGAGAAAGGGTCTTAACTGAGAATTACTGTCCTACAGTGAACCCAGCAGGGAGTAGTGGCTTAGTGGGTGTGAAGATGTGTTTCCTTAATGACTTCTTCAATTATAATTGCACTTTTTTTCCTCCTGAATTTCTTTGCTTGGAGGCTACATTCAGGCCATACTTCCCCTTGGTCCCCTACCTGCCTCCTAATGGATTCCACGCACCTTTCTTGGAAGCACCAGGTATTGGCGATTGCTGGAGATGGGGACCTAGGTTAGGTGGAGTCCAGGTCTGATTCCCCAGGGTAATTTCTACACTTCTATAGGAACATGTATGTATTACAGATAATTTTTGCATAATTGTATTTTATTAACAGTTCTGGGGAAAGGTTTGATAGGCAGGAACAGGAGCTATGTGAGAAATTCCTGTTAATTTTCAATGGGAGTTAGGCTCTTGAGCTCCTTTTCTGCCTTTTAGGGTTTCCTTTCCCCAACTTCACAGGGCTAAGGGCATTGCTCCATTATATACACACTAACCTGGGTTGGTTGGTGGAAAAAACATCATGTATGATGTAAGAGAGTTAAATTGTGATTATGAAGGTAGACAACTGTGGGATAAGTGCTGTTTGACAGAGGAAGATGTCTAATGATACTAAGCAATAATTAACAAATGAAACTCCATCCAGGGGTAAAATGGACCCAAAGGGTAAAGCTAGGAAATGGCAAATTTGGGGCCAAGTGACACAGAGACCCATATTCTTCCCTTTGTGACTCCACTGACCAGCAATCCTTAATTTTACAGCATGTGTACACAGAGAGGAGATGCTCTGTGAGTCCTATATGGATTCTGTCCATGGCACTGGAAACACCTTTCAGTGGTGAGTTCTCTTAGCCTGGCCATGGGGATTTCTGCATCCTTCTTGTCCAGGCCACAGGCTCATTTCCCTGCCCACAGGATAGAAAAATCAGCGCATGCTTTACCTGAGAACTCTTACAGTAAATAGGCACTAGGTAGCTACCCACTGAATAACTCAAATAAGGTTACTGCTGGTTCAGAGCTCAGAAAGAATCTAATCTTTCTTCTAAAAGGAGATAAAATGGAAAGAAAATTTAAGAAAATTGAGGTCATGGGGCTATAAACAGACTGAATTCCCATCTGCCAGCAAGGGCCTTGTCCATCAAATCAGCAGAGAAAAGCTCTCATCAGCTCTTGTCAGCTGATCGGACTCATCTTTGCCTTATTTATTTATTTTGTGAAATGAATTTTTTATTGCATTCCCTCTCAATCCGAAATGGTAGAACTGCCCTCCCTTGCTGGAATTGAAATGTTCTTTCTGGGCAGGGAAATCACAGGCTTTGGGTCTTATCCAAAGCCTCAGTAACGTCCATGGAAAATATCTAGTTGACTCCAGTGGTCTTAGGAGCAGGCACTTTGTGAGATGAGGCAGCATGCTGGGAGCTGGTGGGATGGCTTGATTCAGATCTCAGGTTGGTGTGAGTCAGGTTCTCTTCTTTTTTGCGCCGTTGAAGTCAATGAGCTTGCAGCAGTATAAAAGAGGTGACTGTAGTCCTGGTAATTATTTTGGCCTCAATACACTTATTCTGGGATGAATTAATTCAGGACCGGGCTTGTGGTTTGTACACATCTGTGTTTTTACAATTAGAAACCAGTTCTACCCCATGGGGTTTATTGTCTAATATGGGGAGAGAATACAAGAAGACTTTAACAGAAGAGGGGATCCGTGCCAAAGAGGAGGATGGCTGAACCATGTGTGTGTAATGTGCATATACACATGGATCAGGGTGGTTCTTTCCACTCAAAAGAGTAAATGTGAAAGGACTTCACCTTCCAGACTTTCCCCACAGCTCCTGTGAACAGTGAAGCCTTGAGCAGGATTAAGCACCAAGGACAGCACCCAGGCCCTGCTCTATTAGCGCTTGCTGCTGCCAGGGCCTGGTTTTCCTCTTTCTTTTGTAACTTGATGAATTTCAATGCAGTTGCATCTAATTAACACTGATTCAATGAAGAGAATTGGCCCAATAGAGTTATCCTAAATTCTCAGCGATTTGAGCGATGCAAACATTGGGCCCCAAGGGGTTACTCCCAGTTTACGCTGATTTTAGTCCTAGGAGAATCAGGTCCCAAGGATTTTCTCCTTCTGGGTGCATCTGCATGTGCACTTTAATGTGAATTAGCCTATTTTAATTTACAAGAAAGTGTCAGAGAAACACATTTGCTTTTGCTAATGTGGATTGAGATAGACAAATGTGCCTTCTTCTAGTACCTCACAATGGAGGCACCAAGTTTAATGCACATTAATGAACACACAGATGCGCCCCCTTTTATTTAGAACTATGTTATGACTTTGTATGATGCCAAGACATGGTTTCTGCACTGTTCATGCAGGCAGGTTTCCACTGAGGAGGGCAAATTCATCCTGAATATGACTGAGCAATATTGGGCCCACAACAATGTCTAAGTAAAAGACTACAGCTTAGTTGGAGTTGCAGGACTCAGCAAATGTCAGCCAGTTGCCTAAAGGGACTAAAGAGCAATGTGGTGGGGAACTAGGTACTTGGTAGGGAGAGATTCTTTGATTCTCTTACTTCCTCACCTCATTATTTTTTACCCTTTAAGCTCACAATTCACCAGCTCAGTTCCTGCTTGTATTAAAAAAAAAAAAAAAAAAAAA